CTTTGACTGATTTTATGGTATTTTGTCCCGAAAAGCTATTCCTTTTCTCAATGCCTGGCAGCCTTCCATGTGTCTTAATCCATTATCTCTCCTTCCAGAAGCAAGGTCAAGCATTTTCTCTCAGTTTAACAAATGATATGTCTGCCAAGTCATATCTTTGCATAGATTATTTAAGAGGCCAGGCCTTAAGTCAAAATGAACCATGCGGATTCACACAGTACCTGAGGATTCTGTTTCTCACACTTCTTGGTTGTGTTATTTGTTTGTCACAACAACAAAAAAGTAGAAGGGTGAATTTCAGTCAGTCTTCCACATTCACTGGCATTAGGGGCACAAGACCCCCATGAAAGTGAAGAAAATGTGAATAAGAAAATTGCTGTTTTATTGTGTGGTCTATTCGTATTGTGTTGTCCATTCGTATTGTGTAAATCAATCTATCTACCTATATCAAAAATGCTAACTTTAATTTAAAGAGGACACACCTTTTTAGGAATTTCTAGGCCCTCCAGCACAACTCTATAGTCAACTTCCACTAAAACTAAGTGTAAAGTCACACTGGAGGATCTAAGGATGACTAGAGAGAGCATTTCAATGATATTCTTGAATAATAAAATCCACAAAAATCAAATCTGCAAATGTGGAGGACTTAAAAATTGCCCCTCTCTGTTTCTTCCACATTTCCTGGTTTTGCATATTTGTACCCTGAGAGCGAAGCATTGGAATCCGCCATGTCCATGCAAATGCCTCAGTTACTATGGCTAGTGTAGTAGGTATAATCATATCCAATGGAAGTTCCTAGATTTCATTTGTAGTTCCCTCTTAGGGATCTTTCACATACACAAAGATAAACACATCAGAGTCAGCCCAGTTCTATGCTCTTCTGCCTCTATTTATTTATTTATTTATTTATTTATTTGCTCCTTATTGCTCCTTATTGCCGGTCAATATTCGCTACCTCATAGTTCAGAGTTTCATTCCACATTTATCAGTCCTGCTGGTCCTATTTGTCTGGTTGTCCTTACTTAGTTGGCAGACTGCCTGAAGGCCTGGTCCCACAACCACGTCTTTACCTTCCTCCTGAAGGACAGGAGTGATGTCGATGTCCTGATATCCGCCGGGAGTGAGTTCCACAGGTGAGGGGCCACCACTGAGAAGGCCCTGCTCCTTGTCCCCACCAGCCTCACTTGGGAAAGTGGTGGGGTCGAGAGCAGGGCCCCCTCAGATGATCTTAGATTCCGTGGTGGGACGTAGAGGGAGATACGTTCGGACAGATACACTGGACCGGAACTGTACAGGGTTTTGTAGATCAAAACCAGCACCTTGAATTGGGCTCGGAACTGAACAGGCAGCCAGTGGAGCTGACACAGCAGTGGGGTGGTATGCTTTCTGTATGTCACTCCAGTGAGCAGCATGGCTGCCGCTCGCTGGACTAGTTGAAGTTTCCGAACCGTCTTCAAGGGCAACCCCACATAGAGTGCGTTGCAGTAGTCTATTTGGGATGTGACAAGAGCGTGGACCACTGTGGCCAGATCAGACTTCCCAAGGTACAGGCGCAGCTGGTGCACAAGTTTTAATTGTGCAAAAGCTCTCCTGGCCACTGCTGAAACCTGTGGTTCCAGGCTCAGTGATGAGTCCAGGATCACTCCCAAGCTGCGAACCTGCATCTTCAGGGGGAGTGTAACCCCGTCTAACACAGGCTGTAACCCTATACCCTGTTCGGCCTTACGACTGACCAGTAGGACCTCTGTCTTGTCTGGATTCAGTTTCAATTTGCTAGCCCTCATCCAGTCCGACACAGCAGCTAAACATCGATTCAAGGTCTGGACAGCCTCCTTGGTGACAGGCGAGAAGAGTGACAGATCTGGACATCATCTGCGTAGAGATAACACCTCAGTCCGAAACTCCGAATGATCTCCCCCAGCGGCTTCATGTAGATGTTAAACAACATTGGGGACAGAATTGAACCCTGTGGGACTCCACATGTGCTAGGATGAGATGAGCAACTGCGCAAGGCTAAGGGATCCTCACCAAACCTTGCATCCCTCTCCCACAGCTATAAAAATATTTTGGAATTGCCTCACAATGCCCTTTGGGAGCATGGGCAAATTTGGGCTGTGGAGGATGGTGTCAGATGACTTTTGGCCCAGAAAAATCTTTTGCTGGATCTCCATATTCAGCTTGTTCAGCTTAAGTTTATTTTGCTAGTTGAAGAAAAAGTGTGGAGTGCTGAAAAGATAGTTGCTACTGTAAATGTGGACACTCAAAGAGAGGTATCATCGCTAGGAATTTACTAGATTTTCCAACATGAGTCTTTGGCACTTTCCAACAGAAACATTCCAATCATCTGGTGGACTTAGAAACTTCCTAGAGAAGGCTGATGTGAAGAGATAAAACCTTGTTCTGCAGATATAGAGGTAATGCTGTATGTACAGGGCATCTGCTAATGTTATTCAAACCTCTCTGTTCAAGTGTTTCCCCATTTTTGGAGAGCATAGAAACAACCATCACTATTCCAAATCAGGTAAACCACTTTCACGGTTCATGCTGGCTTTGATCTTATGGCTGTTTTGGTTAAGTCAACTTGGCTTCTAGGGAGAGTTTAGGCTTCATTTGCTCTAGGATCCATTTATTTATTCATTTACAACACTTATATGCCGCCCTTCTCACCCCGGAGGGGACTCAAAGTGCCTTACAAGATATATATACATACAATATATTATATTATTAGCATAGTTCAATATCAGTAATTATATATCACTGTATTGTACTATACCATTATATTGTAATGTTATTAGTAATATTACATGTATTATAAAATATATAATTATAATATCATATTATTATATTGTATTACATTATAATATTATGAATATTATATGTATATACAATATATTATATTATATCATATCATATTATAAGCATAGCACAGGAGACAAAGTGGAACTGTCTTAGCTTGCTCCTTTCCTCCTGGTCATTGTGTTGCCAGGCTCATCCTTTGTTTTATGTTGTGTTGACTTTCCGGCTACAGATGAGTTGACTAAATTAAATCTTCCCTATCTCATCTTTCTATATAGACAAGAAGGAATAATTCCTGCATTTCACCTTGATCTGGGAACAACTTTTTGTATGTATAGCCCTTACTGATAACATCAGGAGGTGTTTTGAATGCGATTTTCCTGCTTCTTGGCAGGGGGTTGGACTGGATGGCCCACAGGGTTTCTTCCAACTCTATTATTCTTCTCTAAATATTAGGTTTTGGCCCCAAACCCTCAGGGTTTGGGAAGATCTTGAATTGGCAAGCCTATACATACATACATACATTCTGCAATAACACAGAATTAATGTCCGAATGGATTATATAATCCAAAATCTATCTGCTTTTTAGATTAATCAGAAACTGTTAACACACCAAATTCGTCTTCTCTACCCCTAAATTATTGCAAGAAGAGAAACATTTGCTGACACTGATAAAGACTTTGAGAATGGCTCCTACAGGCGTTGCCATTCTTTTCTGCCAGTTTATAGTCCCAGAGAACATTATCTGCCACTTCATTTCCACAACAAAATAAGGGTTGAGTTTCTCCCTTAACAGATTTGGCTGCCCTTGATGTTTTGCATTACAATTGCATTTGTGTACTTGTCAGTCCTTTTTATTAGCTCCAGGCTATCTGAGGTGCTTCATAAAAAAGCCAAATGTGTGACAAGTTACTATAGTTTCTTTTGTGGTCTTTTAATGGAACACAGGAGCCAGCATGATATAGTAGTTTGAGCATCAGACTAACTCTGGAGACCAGGATTCAAATCCTCATTTGGCCATGAAAATCCACTGCATAACGATAGGTAGTCCATACTCTCTCAGCCTCAGAGGGAAGCAATGTCAAAATTCCTTCTGAAGAAATATTGCCCAGAAAAACTTGTGCTATGTATGTCTTATGGTTGTCATAAGTCAGAAATTATTTAAAGGCACAAAACTACAGATAGATCCACTGTACCGCAGTTTATTTATTTATCATATCAGAAGCAAACCAAGGGTACAGTTATAATGTATTTAAAAAACACAAAGTTTAAAAACTTGGAATTACATTAAATGTCCTTTGACCAGGAGCTAGCTGCCCACTTGGAGTGCCTCTGGCGTTGCTGTAAGGAGGTCATCCATTGTGCATGTGGCAGGGCTCAGACTGCATTGTAATAGGTGGTCTGTGGTTTGCTGTTTTCCAGACTCGCATGTCATGGACTCCACTTAGTGGCCCCATTTCTTAAAGTTGTCTCTGCATCTTGTGGTCCCAGAGTGCAGCCTATTCAGCGCCTTCCAAGTCACCCAGTCGTCTGTGTGCCCAGGAGGGAGTCTCTCATTTGGTATCAGCCATGGGTTGAGGTTCTGGTTTTTAGCCTGCCACTTTTGGACTCTCACTTGCTGAGGTGTTCCTGCGAGTATTTCTGTAGATCTTAGAAAACCATTTCTTGATTTAAGGCTCTGTTTGGCTGATATCCGAACATAGGATGGCCTGAAGATGTCACTGCCTCAGTCCTTTCATTATTGGTTGCTACTTCCCAGCGGATGTCAGGTGGTGCAATTCCGGCTAAACAGTATAATTTCTCCAGTGGTGTGGAATGTAGACATCCTGTGATAATGCGGCATGTCTCATTAAGAGCCACATCCACTGTTTTAGCATGGTGAGATGTGTTCACACTGCAGTGATTCTCACTGATTCATGAAAATCAACTCAGGCCCCTTCTACACAGCCATATAATCCAGAATATCAAGGCAGAAAATCCCACATTATCTTCTTTGAACTAGAATATATGCCAGTGTGGACTCAGATAACCCAGTTCAAAACAGACATTTTGGGATTTTCCGCCTTGAAATTCTGGGTTACATGGCTGTGTGGAAGACCCTGAGTGATATTGGGCAAACCACACTTTTTCAGTCTAAGAGAAAGGGAAATCAAACCCTTCTGAACAAATCTTGCTGAGAATATCTGTGATAGGTCTTTTTTTGGGTCACTGTAGTAGAAGACACATACAAGAATAATTTGCTAATTGCATGGCTTGAGTGGGTGGGAGTGATGAAAGGAAGGTCTGATGTATGATGGTAATGATGTAGTTGGAGGTGATTCTTCTCCATTGATTTGTTGCACAGTTGGACTAGCTAAACAATCAAGACTCTGCACTATTGTTATTTCTGCTTATCTAAGGTAAGAGCCAATGTAGTGGAGTTGTCTAATCTTTGAATAGGACTCTGGAAGACAGGATTCATATACTTGCTCCGCCATGGATACCCATTTGGTAACTTTGGCCAAGTCATGTGCACTTTCCCAATACCTAGTTTAATTCTTTCCCACATTGCATTTTGATGCAAATTCCTAGAGCTTTGGGCAAAATGCACAGATTCCACTGAGCTGTAGCTCTATTTGCATTTAAAGAAGAAAAATATGGGAGAGAATAATCTATTATCAAACTAACACACGATTGCGTTTTTACAATGGGATCTTACCCCCAGTACCAGGGGGAAATCAAGCATTTAATGTGGAAGAACTAGGCATCATCCCTCTCAAAGTGTTCTTATCTGCATTGTTCTATCTTGTCTTTCTTTTTACAGATAAGATATGCAGTTATTGACTGAACATGCCCAGTCATCTGAAAAGCAAAACAGCGCTTCTTCTCTGTAGGTGTCTCATTCTTTTCTCTACTTTGGCTAAGTCTAAAGGAAACATCAAATTCCAACATACAGATTGCAAGCCTTCAGTAGTTGAGTTAAGTGAGTTAAGTAGTTACCAAGTTCAACCTCACTTATAGCATAATCTTCAGATTTTGTCAAGATCCCTAATGGGATATGTGTTGTTTTTTCAGACTATATGCCTTGCACTGCTGTTTATTTTTCTGGGATTACAGTAGTGCTTAGTGTCTTTGATTCTATAGCCACTGACATGTCGGTTTCGTTTCTCAGCCTCTGTATTTCCACGCTTAAATCCAGCAGAGTTCTGGCAAGCTTGTGGTTCTGGGATTTCATCTCTAGCTATAAGGAAAGAAAAAGATTATAATTGTTTGTAATGGGCAATTATCCTCCAGAAGGGTTTAATTAGTACCACAGATTAGCCCAGGCATATTTTCAATGTTGTGGATAAATGACATTATTATTATAGTAAGGAGAGATAAAACAAGTGCAGAGTGCATGTTCCTCATCACAGCGTCCAAAAAAAGGTCAGATCTGGTGATGTTTCTGGTGTGCTACCATGGAAAATAAGTGAAGGATGGCTTGCTTTCCGAAGAAATTTTTCCAAATTAACATATGAGCCAATGAAATTCACATTATAGTGAAAACTTTGACCATTACTGCTTAAAAAGGAATTCGTTCCTCTTCTCATTCCAAGGTTCCAAGTGAAATAGTTCCCAAATTGCTTTTTAGTTATTATTTTAAAATGCAGGAAAAAGTAAAGTTTTGGTAACTTTTTAAAAAAATGAATGCAGTATCATAAACTAAGTGAAAGGTGAAGGTTTCCCCAGACATTAAGTCTAGTCATGTCCAACTCTGGGTGGTGGTGGTCATCTCCATTTCTAAGCCGAAGAGCCGGCATTGTCCATAGACACCTCCAAGGTCATGTGGCCAGCATGACTGCATGGGGCGCCGTTATCATAAAGTTTTAATGTAATAATCTGGATTTTACATGGCAGTGTTGAAGGGGCCAGAAGGACTGTCACTAGGGATGCATCTACACTGCCATATAATCCAGATTATCTGCTTTGAACAAGATTATATGAGCCTACGCTGCCATATAATCCAGTTCAGTGCAGATAATTTGGATTTTATATGATGGTGTAGATGGAGGTAGTTCGAGCCCCCAGTGGGGCAGTGGGTTAAATTGCTAAGCTGCTGAACTTGATGACCGAAAGGTCACCGGTTCAAATCTGTGGATCAGGATGAGCTCCCGCTGTTAGCCCCAGCTTCTGACAACCTAGCAGTTTAAAAATATGCAAATGTGAGTAGATCAATAGGTATCGCTCTGGTGGGAAGGTAACAGTGTTCCATGCAGTCATGCCAGCCACATGACTTAGGAGGTGTCTATGGCCAAAGCTGGCTCTTCAGCTTAGAAATGGAGATGAGCACCAACCCGCAGAGTCAGACATGACTGGACTTAATGTCAGGGGAAAATCTTTACCTTTGATGGCGGTCTCAGGTTTTGCCCCTAAACTTCAGGGCCTGGATTGACCCTGAGTGGCAACCCTACCCATAACCAAAACTGTCCAAGCCACTCACCAGTTCCACACGAAGCCAGGCAATGGCTCCTTCTACACGCATCCTTCTTAGTTCCTCTTGGACTGTCAATGTAGTGGTACCCTTATGGGAGTTTTCAACTGCTGTATGCAGCTGGACAGCGGCAGCATCACTTGAGCCTTGGAAAGCTCGGATCACCCTCCGTTTTATGTCCTCCAGCAGCAGACTAGAGAAACTTCCTTCGCCTTGGCTCCTCTCCATACTCATTCTTGCTCAGGCCTCTTCCTGCAAGAAGCTGGGATGGAGAAAACTGGGAGGGAGGGATCTGGGTTGCTCTCAAGCGCATTTCACTCTTCCCCACCTCTTTTGTTTTCTGTCCCAGGGCTACTGTTGCCTCCTTTTGCAGAAAATCCCCACATCCCCCCTCCTTTCTCTTTCCTTTCTATCATGCCAAAGAAAGAGGGAAGTAGAGGAGAGAGGGCACAACATTTCTGACTCCATACAGACATACAAACTCCCGGTGCCTTGCTTGAAGGAAATCCACAATTTCAGGCAATTCAGCTTCTAGAAGTTCAAACATTTATCTTAAAGATAATTCCTTCAATATAGCCCTTCTTTTACAACCTGGTTATTCAATCAGCAGCATATTTCAAAAATTGTAATTTATTCCAGTGCAATATTCTCTGGGATGTTGTTCTTGTTCTTGTTGTTAATATAACTTGGAAAGTAAAATAATAACAAAAAGTCAGCTTTGCCAAAAGTGTAAATTGATCTATTCTATGTGACTGTGTGAACACACACAGGAGATGAAAACAGTAACACAGAACTCACAACCTCTGAGGATGCCTGCCATAGATGTGGGCAAAACGTCAGGAGAGAATGCTTCTGGAACATGGCCATACAGCCCAGAAAACTCATAGCAACCCAACAACAGTAACATAAATAGAAAACCAATGCAATACAACAGTGAAATAAATGATTGCAATAGAAATGCAAAAATCAACCGTATACAGCATGCCAGCATTTCAGTGAGAAGTGTGGGCCTGCTTTTGGCTGATGGTATAGTCAAATTAATTAGGATTGCTGTTGTTGTTGTTGTGTCTTCAAGTCATTTCAGACTTAGGGCAACTCTAAGTCTAAAGTTTAGGGTGGTGGACAGGTAAATGAACTTGGAGGGCTGCATGGGACTTCGCTTAGGGATCGCTGGTATACAGCAAACAAACAAATATATATACTCTAAATTTTGTTGTTGTTTTGTGCCTTCAATGTATTTGTGACTCTATCATGGGAGTTTTTTCATAAAAAATAACAAGTGAACACTATCTCGTGTTTGTTTGTTTGTTGCTATTTGACTTTAAATTGACCTTGACTTATGGAGAGAACTTCAAGAGCTCCAATCACATCACATCACCCTTGTAGGTGTTGTGACACAAGATGCTGCAAACTGATTTTATAAGAAGTGGGACAGAGGTGTAAAAGATGGCTTACTGATGGCTATGCTTGTTTTAGGACTGTTGTAAACTGTAATCCAACAACACTTGGAAGACCACACCTATTTTCACTAGAAGCTTTAAAATGAAGCACTGTCACCACTTCACATTCTCTGGGTTTAGGGCACAGAAAACCCATGAAAGTGAAAAATAAAGAATAAAGAAATTGTCATTTTTATTTGAGAGAATACATACCTAGAATTTTCTAAGTATTCTAACTTAATCAGATGGTCAGCTTCCACCATAAGATCACTTTGTAGGCCCTAGAGCAGTGGTTTCCCAGGTGTTTTGGCCTACAGCCCCCAGAAATCCCAGCCAGTTTACCAGATGTTGGGATTTCTGATAGTTGAAGACCAAAACAACTGGGGACCCACAGGTTGAGAACCACTGCACTAGAGATTCCTAAAGAGTTTTTCTCTCTAAAAATCTCTAGGTTCTCCAGCATTATTAGAAGTTGTCCACAGATCCTTGCTGGAGGACTCAGGCTGAATCTATACTGAATCTATACACAGGATTTGATCCCAGATTATCTTCTTATTCCAAATTATTTGGCAGTGTAGACTCATATAATCCAGTTTAAAGCAGATAATCTGGGATCAGATCCTGGGATATAGGGGAATGGAGATCCAGCTTTAGACATTCTAGAGAAAACATATTCATTGCTGGTCTAGCATCTCCTTCGAAATGAAGCTACCATGGGAATTCTTAAAATGGATGGCATACTGGCATCCACCAATGGTGACAGTAGTACATCTGCTTGAAAACATTAATTTATTAGACAAGAATTCTGACAATCACCCAGACAGTGTGGGGTTATGCAGGTTGGGTGATTTTGGAAACTACTGTCCAATAAGCTCTGGTAGATTTTGTACTTTATAAGTGTGGCTTTTCATCCCCACTAAGAGCTAGCTGTCTGAAGGACCACAGCAAATGGAAAACTGAGTTGAGGTCAAAAATGCCTGCCTGAAGAATATTTTCTCCAGAGACTCTTTCATACTTGGCTTCATCCTCTTGCAAATGCCACAGGTGAGATGAAAGGCAGACCAGCATTGAAGATTCAGCTTCCATGCATGAGATACTGAATTCAGAAGAGAAGAGCAAAAATAGCTTAAATAAGAGAAGACCAAAAGAAGGAAAGGGGAAGTGTTACATATATAGCTTCCCTGAATTTTCTAAAACACAGTGAGTTGTTGTGTTAAATGAATTCCTGCTAAATTTTCCCTGTAGGCGGTTTTCCAATAAAAATATACCAACCCAAAAACCCCAATTTTCCTCAGACAGCAACATGAGAAACCCACAGGGCTAGTGGCATCATTTGTCACACAACAGTGAAATGCATCTGCAGATAAACTTTTTAATTAAAATAGTTCTTTCACAGGGTCGTAGAATAATAGATTTGGAAGAGACCACATGAGCCATCCAGTCCAACCCCCTGCCATGCAGGAAAAGCACAATCAAAGTACCCCCAATAGATGGCCATCCAGCCTCTGTTTAAAAGCCTCCAAGGAAGGAGCTTCCACCACACTCTGAGGTGGAGAGTTCCACAGCTGAACAGCTCTTACATTCAGACAGTTCTTCTTAAAGTTCAGGTAGAATCTCCTTTCCTGTAATTTGAACCCATTGCTCAGAGCCCTAGTTTCTCAGGCAGCAGAAAACAAATCTGCTCCCTCTTTCTTGTGTCATCCTTTCAAATATTTAAATATGGCTATCATGTCTCCTCTTAACCTTCTCTTCTGCAGGCTAAATGTAGCCAGTTCTTTAAGACATTCCTCATAGGACATAGTCTCCAGACCTTTGATCATTTTAGTTGCCCTCCTCTGGACACCTTCCAACTTGTCAAGATTTCTTCTAAACTGTGGTGCCCAGAATTGGACACAGTATTCAAGGTAAAGAGGTCTAACCAAAGTGGAATAAAAAGGCACCATGATTTCCCTTGATCTAGACACTAGACTCATTTTGATGAAGTCCAAAATCCCATTTGCTTTTCAGCTGCTGCATCATACTGTTGGCTCATGTTCTACTTGTTGTTCACAAAGACTCCAATATCTTTTTCACATGGACTGTTGTTGAGCCAGGTGTCATCCATTCTGTATTCTTGCATTTCATTTTTTTCTGCCTAATGTATTTTATATTTGCCCATGTTGAAATTCATTTTGTTAATTTTGGCCCTGCTCTCTAATCTGTTGAGATCAATTCTGATCCTGTCTTCTGGAGTTTTAGCGATCCCTCCCAATTTGGTGGCATCTGCAAACTTAATAAGCATGCCCTCTAAACCTTCATCCAAGTCATTAATAAAGATGTTGAACAGTACTGGACTCAGGACTGAATTCTGAAGTATTCCACTAGTCACTTCTTTCCAGGATGAAGTGGAAAGAAGTGAGCACCCTTTGGGTTCGGTCACTTAACCAATTTCAGATCCACCTCATAGTAGCATTGCTTAGCCCACATTTGACTAGTTTTCTTGCAAGAAGGACACACTGGATTTTGTCAAAGGCCTTACTGAAATCAAGATATGCTACATCCACAGTGTTCCCTGCATGTACTAAACTTGTAACTCTATCGAAAAAAGAGGTAAGAGTATTCTGGCATGACTTGTTTTTGAGAAATCCATGTTGACTTTTAGTAATCACAGTATTCTTTTCTAAGTGATTGCAGACTGCCTCCTGAATGAGATGATCCTGGACCTTTCCTGGTATTGATGTCAGACTGACTGGATGGTAATTGCTAGGTCCCCTTTTTTTTTTGCCTTCTTGAAGATAGGGACAACATTCCCCTCCTTCAGTCTCCTGTTCTCCAAGAATTCTCAAAGATCATTGCCAGCATTTCTGAAATTCCTACTGTGGCAGTTGATGGCAGAAGCAAAGGGTGGCAAATGACAACATTTGGAACAACAAACTGTTGGGATCCTAACTGTTCCAGGTTACAAAATAATGTTAAATGTGGGTAAAAACAAATTTTCAGTCACTGACATAGGGATTATACATACACTACTTTTTTAAAAAAAAATCAGTGCTGTCACTAAGCTCAAATGTGATTAGGAGGCCATCGAGTATGCAGTTAACCATATACTTATCCATGTTGGGGCCTGGGAAAATATTGTTTATACTAATCCAGGGCATAGGCCAGAAATGAGTTTTGCCAGGCAACCTGTTATTACATTCGGATTTGACACTGCGTGTCAAATTAACTGGAGGGCCCTATTTAAATTCCAGTATTCAAAGTATTTTTGAGAGTTGTGACATTTTCTACAAGTAAATAAATAACCAACTAGCCAGCCAATTATGGCTAAGGAAGGTGGCAAAAAACCCATCAGATAGTAAAATGCTGTTAATTTGAAAGGTTTAAAAAAAGCTTGTCAATTGCTAAATGATGTGTTTGCATAGTGAATGATGGCACCCCTTTCGGCCCAGATTGTGAATAAATGTTTCATTTCTAATCCTCCAGTTCTATGTGTTAGTTGGCCAAAGCACACCAAGTACAAATCCACTGTCCTTCTGGGAGGCAACAATTATTTATTCAGGTGGAGCCTTGCAATTGCTCTTTGATACTTTGCTTTGCCCAGTCCACTTCCAGCTACAACCGGAGAAAGGGCAGCAACACATAGCAGTTGGGAGAAAGGGCAGCAACGCACAGCAACGCATGTTGCCCTGCTGCCATTTTCCCCATCTTATGAGGGAAAGGGGAGGAAAGTGTGGGTAGCTCCAGTGGAGCTATCCAAAATACACTTTCCTCCTTGTAGTGGTGGAGGGAGCGCCTTTCGGTACTCCCCCACACACACACTTTGGGAGGCATGTGGGCGGTACCTGCTG